TCTTGCTCAGGCTGGTCTCGAACTCCTGACCTTGAGCGATCCACCCGCCTTGGCCTCCCAGAGTGCTAGGATTACAGGCATGAGCCACCGCGCCCGGCCTGCAGGTCTAGTTTTGTTATTGCTTAATTAGTCAAAAGCTGATTAGAGGATAGTGTGTAGCAATTCTTTTCAGCTTTGATATGCATGCAAATAACCTTGGAATCTTGTGAAAATGCAGATTCTGGCTCGATAGGACTGAATGGTGGCCTGAGATTCTGCATTTTTCACGAGCTTCCAGGTGATGTCAAAGCTAGTGAGCCATGAAACACACTTTGGATAGTAACATTCTGGAGAATATTGTAGAGTTTCAAAAGCAGAATCATAGAAGCAGTTAAGATTTTCTTATGTGTCAAGCACTGGCTATTCAAAACTGAACAATGAACAAGAGAGAAATGGTTCCTCAAAGATTTTAGAGTGTAGTGGGGAGAAAAATACAAGCACAGATTTCAAAATAATGTGTAAGTGCAGGGTACTTCGGACACGTAGAGAAGAGTTGCTTAGCCCAAGGGCACTGTGGCTAACACCGTGGCAGGCAGAGAAGGAGCCCTGAAGGGTAGACTGAGATAGAATGGTCAGTGGGTAGAAGGAGAACCAAGAGAGTAGAAACCTGCAGACCAAAGGAATAGAAGAGAAATTTCAAGAAGGACTGAGTGTTTAGATGAAATAGAGAGAACTGACGTGGGGATGGGAGCTCAGGTGCCTGATGGTGTTCAGCACAGAGAAGACACAGTCCACAGGCATACACTGACCTACCTGGAGGGTCAGGAAGACAACCCCAGCATCTTCCAAAGAAGAAAACTTAGGCCTTGAGAGAAAGATAACTTGCCCTAAGCCACAGAATTCTTAGCTACAGGGTTAGATTTATTGCTACCTACCCTAGCACGTTAAAAAAGAATGCCAAAACCATGAAAGTATAAACAGATGGTCAGTAGCCTAAAGTTTCATTATGTAAATAGTTATGCTGACGTCCAACAATTAAAAAGGGATAGTAACATATATGACTTGCACTTTTTGTTCCAAACACAATGCGAGGCACTTCCACTTACATTATCTGGTTCTATCCCTGAATGAACCCTAAGAAGTAGATATTATTCCCATTTTTATCGAAGAGACATTTTGTAATGCTAGTGGTCTACGTGACAGAGACACATGAGTAACTCATGGCAGAGTGCCTGGGAAATAAAACTTAGTGGGATTTCAAGAGTCATAGGTCCTCATCACTGCTGTGTGATAACTGGCAAGCAGTTATTCCATTACAAGAAGAAACTAAGGGAGCATTAATAACACATGTCTGTATTATAATTAGACACACATCCAGAAAGGAAAGAAAATCACTTCAGAAATGAACTTGTCTATTTAAGGTTCCGTTTATAGCACTTAGTACTTTATCAGATTTCACTGATTTTGTCTTGCAAATTCAGTTTGAGGCCGACAGACGTGCTTTTGTCATCACTCTTAACTCTTTTGGCACGGAATTGAGCAAAGAAGACCGGGAGACCCTCTACCCGACGATCGGCAAACTCTATCCTGAGGGGTTGCGCCTGTTGGCACAAGCGGAAGACTTTGACCAGATGAAGAGAGTAGCGGATCATTATGGAGTACGTGGTGACACTGGGTTCGCTAAGCGCCTGATGTTATTTCATCACATGTGCCTTAGAAGCGCACATATCAAATTTCCACTTCCTATCATAAGAAGTTATGATATTTGTAAGGTAGCAAGCAGTGTCTCTTGCTGTTAGCTATCTCTTCCAAAGAAATACTTCAAATTTCTAGCCCAAGCTAGTATTTTTTAAGGTTCCTACCAAGCAAGTACTTGTTTAAATCTCCAAGGAGTGGTCATCTGAGCACTCCTTTTGAAGTGCTTGATAAAGCAAGTTCCCAAAGAGACTGGTGCAGTGTTCTGGAAATGTGAGGTCACGGCAAAGTTGTACAAAATAGCCTGGACCGGCAGTCCTTTTAGGTGCCCACTGGGGAGATGGGGTTAGGTATAGAACATCCAGGTGGACTACGTGGGAGAATATGGATATATTGGTTTATCCTTTTGCTGAGTGGCTAGAAATTGGGAAAGGAAAGATAGCTGCTATATCCTCCCCCTCCTCCAGCATACAACTGCTCTCGGAGAGCCTGAAGCTCCTCAGTTCAAAGCTATACACCTTGTCTCTGATTCCATTCCCTCTGACAGTTACCTACACACCCTCCAGGTAACTTTTCCAGGACTTTCTAGTCATTCTTGACACTCATCTTTTCCTGTGGATTTCTGAAGCACTCCAGGAAAGACAGAAGCCAGCAAACAATGCATAAACCTTCATAACATCTCGTACGTAATTACATGAGACTCTTTAGCATAACATTAAAATTTGCATTTCTTCCCAAATTCCACGCCATCCATGCTTAAAATTGCATGTGAATTCTATCAATTGTCATTTCAAAGAACCCATGAATCCATACTAATCAAATCACAAACATTCACTGAGCCTCTGTAATGTACCCAGCTGGCCCTAAGAACCTGCGTGTGGAAATGAGCTCAAACAGAACATACTGAGAATAGAATTGCCTTGTATCCCTGAATAAGCCAATAGGCTAGAATTTCATCCGCACTCTTATTATCTGGATTTTTTTTTTTTTTTTGGTGGTTCTTGGGAAGCCAAAAGTCCTATTAAAAAAAAAAATCAGGCCTTCTGGTATAAATTTTTTAAAAATCGACTCACAATCTCTATATTGCAGAGAAAAATATGTCCACATACATTTATGAGAAATGAAAATTTCTTTAAAACTAATCTCTTGTCTTTGTTTCTAAGGTATACAAGCCTTTGTTCGAGGCTGTAGGCGGCAGTGGGGGAAAGACGTTGGAGGATGTGTTTTATGAGCATGAGGTATGAAATGCTATTAGCTTATTTTTCTATTACTATGGATTTTAAATATTTTCTTACCTTGGGTTTTCTTTTTACAGTTGTTTGGGACAATTGATTAGGCACATTCATAGCTCGAAGGTCAACAGTGTGTTAATAATGGTGACTTGTAGAGCCAGGGCCCTGTGGCTCATATACAATGGCTTCACATGGAATCGTCCTATCCAGACAGATGTGCACAGAGTCAGGCTCTGGAAGGAATGCAGCTATTGCAAAATTGATTAACTGGAGAAGCAAAGCTAGGATGTCCTCATGATCAAATATTGGCTCTTCTCACTCTGGGGCATCTCACTCTCTAATCCATCTCTCTTTCAAGAAGGGTTTACCCTTGGTTGTAACTCATGGGCACAATTATAATGCTTAGATATTAATCATGTGGAAATCCATTCAGAGAGTCTAGATTATTATTACCCCCCACCCCTGCCAAAAGCAAAAGAGTACTTAATTCACTTGTAGTCAATTCCTGGGATACTGTATGGTTCAACAAAAGTGGTTTTGTTTGTTTGTTTGTTTTTGTGGGGTTTTTTGGTACCAGGTAAAGTGCCCTAGATCTAGAGCTTGTCTAGTGTATTCTATTCATTTTTATGAAATCATTGGCCTTGGCCTTTCCATCTCAGTCTGACTGAAACTAACAGAGAACCCTGAAATCTACCCAAACCTTAGGGTTAGATTGGCTCCTGAACCTTCCTGTAAGGTCTACCCTTTAGATATTTTCCAACAGCTCTCTGGAGTCTGTCACAGAAGTTAAAGTGTTAGGGTTGTTTTAAAATTCTACACTACTGCATCACTGCCACAAAGGAGGCTGTTAAGAAATCTGCCCTTGGCAGGAAAAATGATTATCTGTTCCTGAGAACAGAGACAGCCTCTGCTTCCTGACTGCTTTGCTTGAGGTTTTCAGAGCTGCATAAGGGACTCAGTACCTCTCCTTCTTTCCATTCTAAATATCAAAATGGAAAAGAATAAAGGAATTGTTCTATTCTAGACTTTAGTTAAAAAAATTTTTGTTTTTTGAAAATTTTCTTTTTCTCATTTAACTTCTGCAGAAAAAAGCAATTTGACTGTACATAAGTTGTGGCAGAGTGTCCCAGGAAAGCTCATAATAACAGACTACCTTCCAGGGACCTGTGACATTGCCCTTGAGGGGAGTTAGACAGCCTAAAAACTCTTTTAAAATTTTGAAAGTTGTGGCCAAGAAAAAATACTTTACCTAAATGAGACAATTCCACTAGCTAAAAGCCAGATAAATATTATTACAAAGTTACACACACACTTCAAAGTTCTCCTAAGAATCTTTGTGCTAGCAATGTTGTTAAGATTTGGAGCTTGTCTGGTGATTCTACAAACTTACTTTTATAGCTGCTGTTGTCTACATTTATCTGCCGAGTGACACTCTCCCTTTTAGAACTTGCTGAATTGCCACTGTTTTCCTTTAGTTGGCTCAACGTGGACATTGTCTATTTAAATACAAATAAGCATTGCACAAGCACAAGCCAGTCCGTAGCTTAATATTATTTCATAAGTGTAGCATGTTCCAAATAAGTTGATGGTCTATGTTGTTTGTTTTCTTCCTCAGGTACAAATAAATGTTCTGGCATTCAACAGACAATTCCACTATGGTGTGTTTTATGCATACGTAAAGCTGAAGGAACAAGAAATGAGAAATATCGTGTGGATAGCAGAATGCATTTCACAGAGACATCGAACTAAAATCAACAGTTACATTCCAATTTTATAACCCGCAGGGGGTAAGGGAGGCTCAAATGTAGAAAGACATAAATATTACTGGAAAGTTATTGAGGTAAATAGAAGAAATTGTGTTATATTATCTAGGTTACACAAAAATAAGCCGCACTGCACCTTCATGAATTGCAAATCCACTAGAAATACAGTAGTCCAACCCTAAAACAAAGCATTTCTTTTTTTCAATACCCTTAAATCTTGTTTCCACACTTATGTGTCATTCTTCACTGGGCCTTAGACATTAATTTTAATTTACCCTATGGTACTTTTCCTATTCTTGTTTAATCATGTTAAAAATTGGACCTAATAAAAGTATTTTCTTCTTGCTTTTGCTTGCTTCTCTAAAGGCTCACATACTGAGTGCTTTCTTTACTTTTTAACTGTCTGCTCCTTCCCTAGGTACACCAAAACCCAAAGATATATGTAGCCAGCATGGACCACATTTGATGGGAAATGTTGCAGGTTTTTTCTAGTACATTCGATCCGGTAGGCTTGAGAAAAAAACACAATTTCAAATCATATTCCCTAGATGCAAGTAGTGTTCAATTTGTTAATAAATCAATTTCTCACACCTTTCTTTAAATAAAAGCATATCTCTCTTTCCTTTTTAAAACTTTTATTTGTATAAATTTGTGGGGTGAAAGCATAACTTTGTTACCTGGATATATTGCATAGTGGTGAAGTCAGGGCTTTTAGGGTATCCATCACCTGAATAATGTACGTTGTACCCACTAAGTAATTTCTCATTATCCCATCCCCCCACCCTCTGAGTCTCCAGTGTCTGTCATTCCACACTCTAAGTCCATGTATGCACATTTTTTGGCTCCCACTTGTAAGCTAGAACATGTGGTATTTATCTTTCCCTGCCTAAGTTGTTTCATTTAAGATAATGGCCTCTAGTTCCATCCATGTTGCTGCAAAAGACATAATTTCATTCTTTTTATGGCTGACTAATATTCCGTTGTGTACATATACCACATTCTCTTTATTTAATCATTCGTTGATGGACACTTAAGTTGATTCTGTATCTTTGCTATTGTGAATAGCGTTGTGATAAACATACAAGTACAATATCTTCTTTAATATAATGATTTTTTTCCTTGGAATAGATATCCAGAAATGGGAAAGCTGGATCAAATGGTAGTTCTATTTTCAGTTCTTTGAGAAATCTCCGTTTTCCACAGAGGTTGTACTAATTTACATTGCCAGCAACAGTGTGTAAGGGCTGTCTCCGCTGGGTGTGGTGTCTCACACCTGTAATCCTAGCACTCTGGGAGCCCGAGACGGGAGGATCACTCGAGGTCAGGAGTCCAAGACCAGCCTGAACAAGAGTGAGACCCCGTCTCTACTAAAAATAGAAAGAAATTAGCTGGACAACTAAAAATATATAGAAAAAATTAACCAGGCATGGTGGAGCATGCCTGTAGTCCCAGCTACTGGGGAGGCTGAGGCAGGATTGCTTGAGTCCAGGAGTTAGAGGTTGCTGTGAGCTAGGCTGACACCATGGCACTCTAGCCCGGGCAACAGAGCGAGACTCTGACTCAAAAAAAAAAAAAAAAAATGAGCTGTCTTTTCTCCACACCCTGGCCAACATGTTATTTTTTGTCTTTTTAATGACAGCCATTCTGACTATCTCATTGTGGTTTTAATTTGCATTTCTTTGATAATTACTGAGGTTGGGCATTTTTTCATTTGTTTGTTGGCTATTTGTCTCCTTTTGAAAAATGTTCACGTTTTTTGCCCACTTTTTAATAGAACTTTTTTTGCTGTTGAGTTACTTGAGTTCCCTGTAAATTCTGAATATTAGTCCCCTCTCAGATGCATAGTTTGCAAATCTTTCTTCTGGTTCCTTCATACTTTACCTGAGAAGAAAATAACCTCACTAATTGTATTTAATTCATTCAGATGCAAAAATTACAGGTCCAGTTTGCAGGGCATGGATTCTTCATAAAACTTCGGTAGAACTGGTACATAGAGCTACCCAGAAAAATGGGAAGCAACAAAGCACTGCTCAAGTCTTTCCCTTAAATATTAATATAAAGGATATTCCTAAATATAAAATCTGTATTTGATGTTTTAAAAATCAGACATATATATATTTCAGAGTTCTTCAAAGGTGAATATTTACAGAGAGTATAACATATACTGAAATCTGGAATTAGGTGCAGAGACCAAGGAGTAAATACATTTTTAAGCAAAAATTCAACTTTTTAAGGAAAATATTTTAGTAATTTTAGTGATAAGAACTTTCAAGCATAAGGAAAATAGTGGGTCACAGGACCAGGAGGAAAACCAACTGCCCAGCCTCACACCCACGCAGGGGGCCCAGCTCACGCCTGAGTCCTGGTAGTATCTGAGGGTGCCTTGTAGAGGGTTCAGTGCAGGCCCACTGGTCAAGTGCAGTCTCTGCTCTGGAAGGCACCCTCCCTGCCTTGCTCGGGTTGCTGTTCTTCACACTAAGGCTTGAACCGGGAGACACTTATATTTTACATTTTAACCTGTGGTGTCTGCACTTGCGGGTTTAAGGCTTAGGGCTTCTTAAAAGGTTGGAAGCAAAGATGCTGATAGGAAGGAGATAGCTTAGAGAAAGTCACAGAGATAATTCTCTGACTATCCCCTTCCCACCCCATCTCTACATGATATGGGTAGGGGCCCTTACTGTCCCACAAGTCTGCAGACTGAAATTAAACTCCCCTTCCATGTATATAAACTGAGAAGACTACAATCCTTCCAGCTCCTTGCCCAGCCACCCAAAAGTCCAACCATTGTGTAATATAGAAGAGAGGAACTTCCCTACAAACCCTTGAGGCAAATATAATAGAATGTGCCCCTAGCATGGAAAAGTATACACAATGCTCAAATTTGAAGAACTTGTCTTGAAGTTTCATAGTTTTTTTTTTTTTTTTTTTTTTTTTACACAGACAGGGTCTCCTGTCACCCAGGCTGGAGTGCAGTGGCTCAATGATAGGTCACTGTAACCTCGAACTCCTGGGCTCAGGCAATTCTTTCACCTGAGCCTCCCAGGTAGCTGGAACTAGAGGCATGCAACACCATTCCTGGCTGATTTTTAAATGTTTTGCAGAAACAGGGGATGTCAGGGGTCTTGCTATGTTGTTCAGGCTGGTCTCTAACTCCTGGGCTCAAGTAATCCTGCCACCTTTGCCACCCAAAGTGCTGGGATTACAAGTATGGGTCACCACGCCCAGCCTGAAGTTTCACAGCTTTTAAGTGGCTGAGCAGGGATGTCACTGCTCCATCATGCTTCAGAGAATTGGCCTGCAGTGGAGAACATGGACCTTTGAAAAACATCTTATATAAAACGAAACCAAAAAGTCAGGTACTGCATATAGAATGTGGAAAACAATGAGGCCAAATTTACTTTATTGTTCTAAGTGATTAGAGCTAAGGCTCCTCTCCATCCCTTGCCCTCCCGCCTCCTGACATCTCATCAATCCCTCAGATTCCCTCCTCTGTCATCTTCTGCAGCTGGTCGCGGATCGTTATATTCCAATGAACTCTACACCAGACCTCCTTCGAGACATACCCTGCTGGGGTCTTCCGGCCACTCCCAAACCCTCGGTTCCTACTCCCTTTAGCGTTGCTCTGAGGGGTACACGAGTGCTTCTTTATCAGCCTATCTGTGGCTGAACTTGTTAGACTTCTAATAAGATTTCGCAGCTGCAGAAATGTGGTGCTCTGTGGGATACAAATGTAGCAGTTGCAACTCTCAGAATATTTGGAGAAACTCTAGGAAGGAAGTGCAGTTGTGTCTGTTGTTCACAGGCTTCAGGACCCAAGGAGCACTGACTGAGAGCAGGTGGAGACGGCCATGCTGAATCTGGATGAGTTTGGCCCAAGGCTAAGTGTTGTTGGACGATGATGGGAATTTAGTTAACCTCCCCCTCCCAGCATGGCAACAATGTATTAATAATAGGACATTGAGAAAGTTACAAGGAATCTTTGTAGAGTAAAGAAAGATTAGGTGATGGTCGGATTTGAGGGGCTTCCTTAATAGTAATCCTTAAATCTACCACTGAAAAAATGCTGTTAATAATGTCTTCTGTCTCACAGATAAGACATGGGAAGGATGTGATTAGTTTCACTCTGTTTTGTCTTAGTTACTCTCAGAAGCAGACAAAATTCTCCCTATTGTATGACTCATTTTGACGCATTTTCTCTTCACTTTAGCAAATGGAAGCATTAATACTTACATATATTGAATACAAATTGCTGAGGAATACGTGTGACATTATTAGAGGGCATCATTTTTAGTGATTTCATCCTTTAAGTCTCACAATCACTGAGTCCCAGAGTTTTGATGTCATCTTGGATGACTACATGGTCATAAAATGTATGTCTTACAGCTGCACAGTAATAGGGCGTGAAAACTATGATCAGGCCCAAACCACCTTCCCTGAGAAATCTCTCCTCTCTCACATCTTCATTACTCCATCTGGCCTCCCATCAATTACCTTTTGCACCAACTCTCCCTTTCTTCTCAGTCACTTGTGCTGCAGTTTCAGCTCCCACCACTTACTGAAGGCTTGATCACTAATTGAAATCCACCTCGCCACAGCCCTCGCTGCTCAGCGTGGGTGACATCTGGCTGCTTATGTGAGGGAAGGGGGGTTAGAATTATCTTTGGAGAGAAAGGAAAATGAGTAAAGAAGATGCTTGCAGAGACCAGGGTGAATATCCATGTATTAGAAAGGAATTGTTCCCAGGGAATTGTCACTCTAACCAGATCCAAAAGTGCCATTTCAAAGCTAGAATCATTGACAAAATGTGAAAGTACATCAGCAGCTTCACAGTAGACTCTGGTCCCCCTGAGACTGGTGACATTTAGTAGCTGGGATGAATCTCTTAGTAACAGTAATGGCAGCACCAGACACCCTGACACTGAATCTAACTCTTCAGTGGTGAAAGTCATTATAACCTTTGTTATCCTATGAACAAATAAAAATTCCACATTTTAAATAATTTATACATTTTCTGATTCTACTTTTGTATGTTTTTAAAAATTAAAGCATCTAATTATTTCTGTACTCAGCTGTGAATGCTGAGATGCATATTTCATTGTGTAAGATGTTCACTGTTTTATCTTTTTG